TTGATCCATATTTTGGATTTTAGTCCATATTTCAGTCCATATTTTGATATCTTTAGTCCATATTATATGTCCATATTTTTCGATTGATAGTCCATATAAATCCCATCATTAATAATTACCAATGCTTGGAAATTTAAAAATTGCTTGTACCAGGAATGGGACGGGTTACCCGAAACCCGATACCCGGACTTTTATGAAAAATCAATTGTAAAATTTTCAAAAATAATTTTCTAAATTGCCACAAACAAAAGATATTAAATATTTTATTTTTTGGTGTTGTCATTCTTTTTTTGATTTAAAATAAAATTTAGATTTCCATTAATCTTTATTTGCTTAAAAATTTATTTGTTCAATGAAAACCCCCAACTTTTATAGCAAATTTTTATGAAATTGTATACGAATTTTTTCCAATTTGTACTGATTTTTACTTAAAACATTGTAGTCTGTAAATTGGAAAAGGCACAAACTCTATGAAATTTTATATAAAATCCTGGTAAACTTCCCCAAAACATACCATTTTAATTATTTTAATGAACATCTAAAATAATTATACATTCATTCATCATTGGCGGAGAGAGTTTATTAGGCTCAAAAAAACTGATAATAGGCAACTAAATAGTTATGAAAAAGGCTTAACCTCGTACTTGTACATTCTCGTAATTTGTAAATGTGAGGCTCTCGAGCGCGGGTCCTCAAGTTCGTTTAGTTCAAAAATAATAATGATTTAGTTCAAAATTAGGGTTGTCGTCTCTGGACCGAACCGAAGAACTTATGATTTTTAGGGTTTAAGATTTTCCAAGAACCGACAACCCTATTCAAAATTCATTCCTAGCGAGACTTATTGTTTTCCAACCTCATTTCTTTTCTATATTTGTTTTCTTAACTCGTTCCATAATTGTTGGATCGACTCTGCCCATCCGTAATTAGACCCTATTCTCCAAGTTCTATCGAATGACACAACGTATAAAATTACGGGAAAAAGAGTACTAAAAAATAAAAATTTTCAGAAAAAATAATTAATTAAATGGCTTCTTTAAATAATATTTTTCTTGTTCTATTTTTATTTTTAAATTTATTTATATTATTTGAACCAATTAATTGCTGTCTTTTAAAAAATGAAATCAATTGTAATAATAAGGACAATAAATGCTGTGCCTTTTTAACTTGTCAAACTAAAGCTACTGGCGGTTCAATTTGTAGACCTTACAATTGTGTTAAACAAGGTGGGCACTGCGATATATCAAAAGAATGGCTGTATTGTTGTCTTGGATCTTTTTGTTCTTATAATACAAACAAATGTGAAACGTGTTTGAAGGAAAACGATCCTTGTGGTAATGATAGTAATACTTTTAAATGTTGTGAAGGTCTGGAATGTAAATATTATGGGCAAGGGAAATATGGCTCTTGTGAAAAAATTGAAATTAATAACTAAATGCTAACAATCTTTGTGGACTACTACTTCGCCTGACGACGAGACGCTGGGGATTAAACCTAATTCTCTGCTTTTTAAAGATTTGTCCGGGCTGTTTATCAATAGGTGGTTTTTGAGTGGGCTCATAAGATCAAGTTTTCCTTTTATGACGCACTGTGAATTTGGTTGAATAGTAGAATCTTCAATGGATCTAACTCTTAAATTGTTCAGTAATCTTTTTGAGTTTCCCATCGTTACAAATTCTTCTCCAATGTAAAATTTAGAATTAATGAAATCGAATCCAATAGGTTTATTTAATTTCTTAAACACATTGCATCCTAATATAATGTCGTAATTTTGCATGTTCACAAATTCTTGATCGTCAGCTAGGTGTATTTTTATTTTTAAATTTGATTTAGCTAATTCAAGGTTCACTTCAATACATTCTCTGAAAATTATTACATGTCCTGAGGCACTTGTTGCTTCAACAAAACTATTGGTTAGTATTCCATTAATTCGATTTGCTATAGACCTGGGGGCTACGATTAAGCTAGCGCCTGTGTCAATTAAAGCTCTTACTGGTAACGAATTTACCTTAACGTCAACAACTGTAGACTCCGCCATTGAAGAATTTTGACAATTATTAACTGTTTGTTTAAGACCTAACATATTTATTGTATTGATCTCATCTTTCTGCTCAGTCTTTCGACTGGTTTCTTTATTAATGAGAACAATTGGTGTGAACTTAGCTGTTCCCAATTTTGGATTAAGTGTTATTTCGGGAGTCTCCTTGCTGTGTGATTCAACATGTGTTTCAATTACCTCTTCTGGTTTGAGTACCCTGTTTTTGTTTCTGGACCAAAAACGTGCTCTGTTGTATTCACCTGCACCTTTATACCCATCACGAATAATTAACCAAATTCTTATACATAAATCTAAGAAAACTATGATTAAGATAATATTACGTATTATATCCCATATGTGTAAAATATCTCCAAAGACGGCATTTTTGATTTCGTCTTTTACGTCCTTCCACTCTTCAGACATTGTGGTTAATACCTCAGTGTCTTTCTTCTGAATGGTATAAGTTATAGTGCTTACTCGGACCATGTTTGTTACAAATGCGTGTGTTGCTAAGTCTGTAATGTTTGTCAAGACTAAATGGTGAAATGTGTGAATCGGAATTTTCGGCATTGTAATTGAAAAATTAAATTTCTTTAATTTTCTTACAGTCACCTCCTTTACTTGCCCTGTTAGTTGATCAACTTCAAGTACTCTATCATTAGTTTTTACATATTGTTTCCTAAATTCAGCGCAGGGAGCCTTTCTTGCAATTGGACTGATAATCATTGTAATAGGGTCTAAAAATGCCAGTTTTTCATTGCCTCTTGTTTTAAATTTTATAGGTAATTGGTCAAAGCATTCTGTTTTTCCGTTTTGAATATACACTCTAGTAAATTCATACTCATCCCAATTAAGTTGAATACATGGCCATACGCTAATTATTGAAGAACTTACTCTTTTAGCTACCAGCTTTTCTTCTTGAAAAACTGCTCTAGCAAAGCTAGTCGGGTCTTTTAAAATAGTTGCAGTGGCCCAACGTCTTGTTTCTTCCATATAATCACAGATTGATTTCAATGCCTGAGAGAAAGATACAGTCATCATTTCGGACATTTTGGCATCCAAATATGAAAGTTTTGCATCTAATTCTGATTCACTTACCCAGCCTTCAATAGCTCGCTTCCTTCTTCTGATATAAATCCATGGGGGAAGATTATTAGGTCTTATTTTACCATAACCTTTATTTTCGGATTTAATCAAGCCTGGAGCTTTTTGCGGTGTTATGTCTCTTACTGCTGGACCTTCAACCGAAAGAATTAAGCCTACATTACATGAAAATGCTTTTGCAGGCTTTGCTGGAAAGGTTAGTCGAAAATTAATTTCTTCTGAAATCCAGACATTATCTAGCTGAGTTCCATTCCAGGTACCTACCTTCGTGTATTCACAATTCTGCTGTGTTCCTACTTTCCATTTTAGAAGTGTTTCATCAGCCATTAGACATTTTTCTTCAGTAACCTCACATTTAGTGTTACCCAAAGTTGTTTTTATAGATTTATCTCCAAACTTCGAGGTTATTGTTGTTTTAAAAAGGTAGCAATTTTCTGAACTTACTTGTTTCCAGTTAAAAGATCCAACAAACCAGAACCTTGGAGATAGATCTATTTTATTTTCTGTGTATAAAATTCCAGAATCGTTCTTTAAAATTCCCAAACTACATTTTCCATGTTCAATCATTTGTTTACATTCTTCCTCGCTCATTTTCATAGGTTCAGAGCTCATTTCCTCTTGTATTGGTACCCCCGTTATTGACGTGTATTTGCGAAAGGATTTTTTCACTTTTCTACAGGCCCATGCCTCAATTTCGTGTTCGAGATCATTTGGTAAGTAAATTTCAAACCTTTTTGAAACGGGTGGAATCGAGTGGTTTAAAGCTTTGTTAGAACATGTTTCAAAATTTGGCAGTTCCCATAAAATGTTCTGTGCTTGTGTTTGGCAAATTAATGGATGATTTATTGTACCTGAAGCTGGTATAATCATAGTAAGAAGCATTAATAGGCCGAGAGAAAATTTTGTGATTTTGGGTCCTAATCCTTCCCAATTCGTTGTTTTACTTATAATGTTACTCCTCTGCTTTACAGCAGGTTCAGTCTTATCATTTGCGGTATCTTCTTTACCTGCTGATTTTTTGTTATTCAGTGTGACTGACCTGAGTTCTTCCATTGGTGTGTCTGTGGATTTAATGTTCATCGAGCCTAGTGCTTGTAATAGTTCTTCTACTGGTACGACTGTCATACTAGACTGTACGGTATTTACAGAATTTTGCTGCTTTGGATAACTGTTTGTTTTGTATTGCTGTTGTCTGCTGGTCTGTTGTGAATCATAATTATTGCGATTAGGCCAATTGGCCTGAAAGTTATTCCTTCTAAGTCGACATTCTCTTGCTACATGTCCAGCTCGATTACAGTTATAGCATCTTGTGCGACCTGTCCAATTTCTCTCACTTCTCATTTGTTGAGAGCTCCAACCTCTGGCAGGAATATTAATTCTGTTTGAATTTGTTCCTCTGTAATTCTGATTAAAAGCCTGGGGATTGCGATTTTGAGCATCTTCTCTGATGAATCTTCTGAAATTAGGTTGCTCAAATCTGCGATTGAAATTGTTATTTGGTTGTGTATTTGCGTTCAAATTTAAGGTCTTGCCCTGATTTCTTAAAACATTAACTACCTGCTCAATTTGTGTCGGCAATCCTTTATCTGATTGGAGTACAGCTTCTACCTCTTCCGCTCTTTCTTTGAATTTTTGGAGATTACTCATTTGTGCTGTTCCGAGTAATCTCATCATATTTGTTAGACTTGGTTTGAGACGACCTCGTAATTCTTCGCATATCTTTTCTTTTCTTGCCTCATCCACTAGACCTGGATTTGTTACTTCTACTAAAGGTATTAATCTTTTCAAAAATTGAGCTACCGACTCGTCTTCTTTTTGTTTACAAACAGATAAGGTAAGTCTGGCAGCCTCTCTTCTCTGGGGCGAGTCCAACTTACTTCTTAAGGCTGTTAGTGCAGTACATACGTTAGCCATTTGATCTGCTGTGAGCTCTCTGTAAATCCCTTGGTGTGTCTCCCAGTGCCAATCGGAGTCTTGCAACCTTTTCTTGTTCTGTCCAGTTCCTGCCTGCAACTATTAGATAATCTTTGAATCTTTCAGCCCACTTGTCGAAAGCATAGACGGATTCTTCTCCAAAAATCTCAATTCCAGCGTTGGAGGTAAGCATATTTATGGTAAAATTAAATTCTTCGCTTTCATCGTCAATATTCTCTTTTCTGGTCATAACTCTGTTCTTACCTGCTGTTTGAACACCTGAAATCCTAGGAGGCCGGTTATTGGATGATCCGTTTTCGTTTAGGTCTAATTCAGAATTTTGCTCATTTTTACCAACTCCGTCTTCAAGAGCTGAAACTCGGCCATTTAATTCAGTAATATTTAGGTTTAGGGAGATAAAATTGCGATTGGCATCTTCAGATGCTTTGTTGATAGCTTCAGTATTCTGATTGACCTCTCTTTTAATATGTCTTAAAGCTCTATTTACACTATCTTCCAATGTTACTATATCATTATGAGATTTCTCTAAGTCCGAAACTTTAACCGATGTCTTTCCTATCCAAAAATTTTTATCAATTGCCATAATAGTTATCTCCTCTTCTCCTTTACCAGACATTTTATTTCTACTCAGTCTTTCGACCGGTCTGCTATCGATGATTCTAAACCTATTGGTTTTTGAATAATCAGGAGTTTGAGGTGAAGCACTAAACTCGAGTCGATAGAGTGATGTTTTAGAATGCTCAATTTAATTAAATTTTTTTTTGATTGCTAAAAATAAAATATTTAATTTAGAGCCTAATAAATTATTAAAAATATTTATTAATGAATGAATGGGATTAATGTTTTCTTCAATGTTATATGAAACTTTATTGTAAAAAAAAATTTTACTATTTTCTGAGATTTCTCACTTGATTGTAAATACGGGAAAGGAATTTTCCTCCTTTTCTTTTTTTTTATTAAATTTTTCTTTCTCTTGAGAGAATAGGATTGAAATGTAAGTGTGATAAGCTTCCTGTTTGTGTTTATTAACTAAGTCCTGAGAAATTTTATTTTATTCCTTTTCTTTTATAAAATTACAACGGGATATGTGTGAACGAAGGATAATATATTTTTATAAACAACTTGGGATATTGGAAAGAGGAACTTTGATCTTCCATTTTTTTTAACCTTTCGAAAGAAGGAGAAGAAATTATAAAAATTTTGAAGAATATCTTGGAAAATTAATAATAAAAAAAAATATTTTTATAATAGAATTCAAATTTCGGCGGTCTTCAAATCTGCTAAGCTGTTAAAAATTACTATAAATTTTATTTTTAAATTTTTATTCATCTGTATAAATTATATTTGCACATAAATAAATTTCCTATATTTTTATATAAGTAAATTTTTAAATAGGTAATTTTTTAAATTTCTCTCTTTTTATTTTTAAATTTAATTATTATTGCTTTTGATCCTCAAGTTTATTTCTTCTCCGCTGGAAAGCAGGTCTCACTAAGAATTTTTATACAAATTTCATAAATCCAATAAAATTAATTTCTATGTTTAACAAAATTTCTTCTTTTCTCTTCCTTATTTTTCTTAAATAATTTCTTTGTATTTTTGAACAATTTTCTTTGATTCCTATATTTAAATTTGGTTAGTCTTCTAAAAAAAATTCTGATTTTCTGACAGTTTTCCGGATCCTAATTATTTGTTACTTCTCTGCCTTAAGGCAGGTGGAGCTCCACACAGTGAGTTGATCCTGCATCGATGATGAATCGTCCCCCCGGATTACTCCAGAATCCGGTGCTACCAGTAAAGTTGGAAGAGTGTTGGGCAGAGGGATGCTCGTGCGTGGCCAGCGCACTCATCACTAAGAGGATCAACTTAACTAGTCTTTCGTTTCCGAAAGAATAAATATAATCACAAACAAGACTAGACTGTTACTAACATTTATTTTACATTTTAAAATACAATTTTAAGTTTATAATAATAAAAAGAAATTCAATCGACTAACTAGTGGGAATACAAATTATTTATAAGTGATTAAAATAGGCGGGATTAATTACAAGAGGGGATATGACTTGTTGCTCTAGAGTAAAGGGAATTTGATATTGGGCCATTTAAGTCTTCCTTAAAATAACACAATAAATCTTTAGAAATCTATTATTTAAAATTTAGAAATCTATTTATTTTAGAAATCTATTTATTTAATTCCTTTAACGGACGATCCTTTAATGGGCGACCGTTTAATACTTTTTGCCCGTGACGATCCTTTAATTGTTTTTAGACGTTACGATCCTTTGAACGTTTTTAGCCGTGGCGATCCTTTTATGTTACGATCCTTTTAGGGACACGCCCTAAATGATACCTTTCTTTATTACATGTCTTTCATATTTTTTTGATTGTAATTTGTAACTCAAAAGTCAAAAATATCAAACTAATAACCGTTATACAACTTAAACTATGTTATACACAGTATTTAAAAGCTCGTACAGTAATTCAACTAGTACCTTTGTTCGAAGTACGAGTAAGGCAGACCTGTGCATGGACACGGATATCACACGTATATATCTAATATCAAGGGCCTGCAGCAGATAGCTGTATATATCCGTACATATATCCGGATACGGATAACAAAATCAGTGTTCATGAAAGTCTGCCTACCAGAAAAATATAAGGCCTGTAAGAATGTACGAGTACGAGCAATTTCAAAATTCTAAACACTCGTTATACAGAAATTGTAAATGGCCTAGGCGTATATGTTTTGTAATGTGTTATATTAGTATTTCTTGCCTAAATTGACGAGCACAAAAATAATGCTTACCCAAAATATAATGACAATATAGTCAAGGTTGATTGGGTTAGAATGATAAGCTTCGCTCTTCTTTTTTATTTCATATATAGTTAAATCTTGAAATTTTCAGTCATTAAAAATGTCAAAATTCTTTCTTTTTGCCTTTTTAATATTTATTCAACTTTTACCTTCAAGTTCAAGTGGTGGTAGATCTTCAAGATCAAGACGTGGTGGACATGGCAGATCTTCAATTTCAAGCGCTGCTGGATCTTGAGTTCAGGAGGTGGTGCACTTGACATAGCTTCAAGTTCAAGCGCCGCTGGATCTTCGAATTCAGAAAATCTTAGTGAAGACCAACGTATTCGCGAAGAACTATTTCGTGAATATAGCTCAACAACTTTTGCCGTATACAAAGAATATCTCGGTTATGAACTCGATATGAAAAACTTTTCCCAACAAGATCATTCTTCCTTGCCTAAAATGGTAAATTAAATTTATAACATTTTTTTACAACTGAATGTGCTCACATTTTATTTTTCAAGATTACCCAGACTCCTGCCGGGCTAGCTTTTGCTAAACTCTGAGTTTTCTCTGGAAGACATAGCAGAGTTTAGCATGATTAAATGTTTTAAATTTTTAAACACATTTAAAAGAAATAAATAAAACATAACGATTTATGGACCTCGTTTAAGACTTCACATTCTTTTTAAATATCAGGTTTTTAGTCGGTAGGATCCCTAATAGGTATTTACAAAAAATTCTATAAGTGAAAGAATTTTGATTCTTGTTACATCTTTTTACATTACAAAGAACGCTTGATTAATAATTTTAAGGGCTTTATTTAATTATAGTATTTGGAAGTTCTAGACGAATTCTTACAAAACGAAATACCAGGGAAAAACCAGCGAAAGATAGCGATAAATCAAATGATTAATAATGGGACAGCAGCTGCAAAAATAATTGACTTTTGTAAAGCGTATCAACAAATGCTTCTTGATGAAATTAGAACTAATGTTTTAGTAAGTTTAGTTTTAGTTGAGTGGGTTAAGAATTCTAAAACTTTAAGTATCGCGCTGGGTTTGGTATTGGGCATTTTGTGGATACAGCTTTAACCTTGGTCAAGGTTCAGATGTTTTAAATTCCGGATCTCGATGCGGTGATTTCCGAAGCCGCTTGATGTTTACTCCGGCTTGGTTCTAGGAAGAAGAAATTTTTTGAAAAATAGAAAAGGATATTTCCTAATATTTTTGAATTTTTAAACATTTAATCTCGTTACAGAATAAAATGCTGAAGATCGTATATAATGAAGCTATTACAAAAGGAGAAACAGAATGTCCAATATGTCAGCAAGAGTATATAGAAGGTGAACAACTTGAAATAACGGAATGTGGACACTTTTACCATCAGGATTGTATAGTAGAATGGTTTAAAATGGAGGGAGGTAGAAATCATGGCACATGTCCAACATGTCGTAGTGTACTGAAAATATCCGTGCATCCAGAGATTGCTGAGATAAATAAAAAATTAGAGAAAGTTGGACTCGGTTTTAAAACGAAAAAATTTCGCAGAAATGATTAGTTATAAATATTCAATTATTTATTTTTCATTTCAATATTTCTATCACAGATTTTCTTTACGTATAAGCCCAAAATTTCAAAAAATCCAAAAATATTAAAATTCCCCAAAAAATGAATTAAAAACTCCTAAAAATTAAAAAAATTAAAAACCAAAAAAAAACAAAAAAATTTTGCCCAAAAATCATAAAAAGAAAAAATTCACAAAAAATTTTTAAAAAATCCAAAAATTTCCCAAAAACAATTTATTTAATTCTATCTATTTAAAATCTATTTTTCTTTCTTATTTTCATTCTATCGTAAATTTTAAATATTTAATCTTTTGTATAAAATATTTCGGGAATTGTTTTGTATAATATTTGAATTTTAATATTAAAAAAATTTTTTTTGCAAATTCTTAAAAATGTGGTCAATCAATAATAGGTCAATCAATAATAGGAAGTAACATTTTATAAAACAGCCTTAACCTTGTATTATATTTTGATACATTAATGGTCCTATTTCAAATTTTAGTTTTATTAATATTAAGGAGTAACAACTTAGAAAATTTGATTAAATCATTGTTTACTTGATTATATGTAATTAGGGATGGGATTTATATGTATTTCCTTATTTTTTTCCTGGCCTAATTTAGTCGTGAAACGCACAAAAAACATAATTGTAGAATATGTTGTTAAGGCCGATAAGTAGTTATCAATTAGAGCCCGGCTCGATACGATATTTTTTCGATATTTTTCGATATTTGGGTTCGATATTTATCGAAAAATATCGGTCAAAAGAATTTAAATATCGAGAATAACGACCGACCAAATAAAAATTATCGAAAAAAATATCGAACGTCATTTTTGACTAAAATTTGAATTTTCGGCGTCAAAAAGGATGAATTTAACTTCCTGACCATAATAAATTCTAAAATTTTCGCCTGCGGCGCTGAAAATGCAAGAATTTTGCAACTTGACCTTCCAAGATTCTCATAAGATTGTTATAATATCCTTTCTTATCCCCTTAATCCATCATATTCCCTCGATATCCCTACAAAACACTGATATGAATTAAGAAAATTTCGGTAGATTAAGGGAGATTTCAGTGGATTAAGAGTAATTTTATGGAACATCCGAAGGTTTGTTGGGATATATGAGATATCCAAGGATCATGACGGATATAGTTGATATCCGGGGTAATCAACAATTTGTATAACTAATAGAGGAATAAGTGGATAAAATGGATCTCGAGGATCAAGACGGATATTTGGGAGAATGTATATCA